TTTCACTCAGTTCATCTTCTAAGACAGGTTCACTACCTTCATTATCTATTTTTACATCAAATGGATTAGCAAACCATTCGGAAACATGCATATTCTCCAATTCTTCGAAACGTGCTTTAAAGTCTTCTCTTAATTTATCAATATGTTTAATATATATCTCCAAATCACGGTCGGAAATTTTTTCATTTTCTTTCTTTCTTTCGTCTCCTCCCCGGTTTATATGAGATTATATTTTCATTTTCTTTTAGTACTCTCAAGTTTGAAAAATATTTAAAATTGGATCGTGCCAGTGAAGATTTAAATAGCTCCATTTTTACTTGAAAGGCCATTATGATTGTTCGAGCTTGAACAATTGTAACTTTTTTTTCCTCGCAAACGCTTATGTACTTAACAAACGCTTAATGATTTTCGATATATTACGATATTTTCTCTGTAAAAGACAAAATATCTACATTTAGATATAAAATACTTAGCGTGACAACCCTACAGACATACGTTGCACTGTTACACTCTAGTGTAACAGTGCAACGTATGTCTGTGTATAATGAACTACCAGCGTTCATAATATGTTTGTAACACTAGTACAGTTGCCAGATGCGTGAAAACAGAGTAACACATGCTTAAAGCGGCGTAGGCTAAGGCAAAACTCAAGTTATAACTAGAGTTGTCAGTAATGTTGTTGATCATATCCGTATTTCGAATTTTTATTGGAATATTCTATTTTTTACCTAGATAGTTTAATTGATCATCTTTGGTATTAATCGACTCCTGGAGAACTCTTATCGACCACTTTGCGGACCCCTAACTTAAATGATGGCGAACACATTGAAAATTTCCTGTATCGCTAAGCAGTCTGTTAGCACCTACTAGTATGTCCTCACAGTGGCGAATTACTCAATAGGCGCATTAAACGCGCACCTAGGGCCTCGTCGTTTCGAGAGGCCTCAAACATTATATAGGAAAAAGGTAATATGCCTCTAAAAATTAAGTGAACTTTTAAAAAGTGTATATTATAAAGAAAAATTGTTATTATTTAAGGATTTTACAGTCTTTTTTAATATAAAAAAACACTTTTACATAAAGGGCCTTATAACAAAATTGCGCCTAGGGCTTCAAAGGAACATAATCCGCTACCGTCTCCTCATACGAACGAAAAAATTATTTTTCATTGTGTTTCTATTGTTTTGTTTTGCAGCGCCCATTTACTCTGTAGCGGACAATTTTCGAACTAACATTTTTCTGTATTCTCCTGTTAAAATACAGTATTTAAATAAAACGTTACTATCATTTCATAAATACAGGGTGTTTATAAGTGAATGGTGCGGTTTTAAAAATTAATAATAATTCTATTTATTATCTTATATGGGCAAACCTTACAACAGTGTTTTTCAACCGGGGCGCCGCGGCACCTTAGGGTGCCATGGCGCCACGATTGGGGTGTCGCAAAGTTTAGGGCCTTTAGTCATTTTTTTGGAAATTTACTTAAGTGTAGTTCAAGATAACTCATTGTCAGTTCTACTTTGCTACGAAATATCTAGTAAGCAAAGAAACGATGAGTAATCGCATGTTAATGTAATGTTCAACACTACGTGTACGTACGAGTTCGCCCAAACCACATTACTTGGCCTTCACATTCCCAGTCCCAGTACCAGGCCAACCAGCAGAGAAAAACGACATGGACACTTGTGTCTTGTATATACTTTAAAAAGTGTTGCATTGCACTTTGAAAAGCGTGCACAATGTAGATGCATATTACAGTACTTTCATAGTATTCAAAAGCAATGATGACAAATAAGCAATTTATTATCATTTTTTTAATTTAATTTTTTTAAATTGATATGAAAAAGATAAGAAAAAAGTAATGAAATAATTATTTTATATATGCATCAAAATAGTATAAAAAACTTAACAAAAATTGTTTATCAATAAAATAATAATATAAAATGATGATATATTTGATAATAAAACTAAATTTAAAAAACAATAGAGAGACTATTATTTTACATGTAGGTATTTCGACAAAATTCAGTGGACTTAAATTTTGATTTTAAACACGTAGAAACGTTTTTTTTTTGCATTAAAATGCTACTTCAAATTGTCAATTTTTAAAAGTTTTCTTCCCAGGAAGGGACTCCCTCCCCGGACCCCACCCCAGCGTTGCGCGTAATATTCGTTTTCGCAAAAAGTTTATCTGGCTCATTAGCCCCCTTATTCAGATCCGCCGCTGGTCAAGGGTGTCACGATTTTTTATTTTTCAATCAGGGGTGCCACTCAATGAAAAAGGTTGAAAAACACTGGACTAGTATAATGTTATTTGTCTAATTATTATTAATATAATGTTTTACTATATCGCCCAAAAAATTGTTTTTCGCCCCCAAAATATAAATTATTACTAATCGCCCCCTCAACATGGAAAAACGCCCACATGGGGGCGATATCCCCCGTTGAGAAACCCTGGTTTAGACTAATTGGTCAACATTTCCAGTAGGTTGACGTCATTCAGCCGACCAATCAGTGCGTTGTGCCATCTGGATATTTGGTCGCACGTTTTTCCTTGGCTTTACTTTTCTATTATTTGGCCACTGTGCTTTTTAAGATTTCTACCTTATTTATTTGAACTTACAAGTTAGAGAAACGTTAAGAAAAATCTTGATCATATTTTAAATAAAATTTGATACGTTGGAGAAAGGGGAAAAACTGATGATGTCTTTCTTTATCTCGGGAACAAATGAATTTTATGCTCTGTGCGTTCTATATTGTTACTGCTATTTTTCAGACACTTGTTTGTCTAATGTACTGTACAGTACAATTAACTTTCTGGACGTTAGGCAACAAAATAAAATATTCGATCGCCCGACGTGGGGCTCGAACCCACGACCCTGAGATTAAGAGTCTCATGCTCTACCGACTGAGCTAGCCAGGCTTAAAGGGTTTTTTTCTCTATAGACTACTTCACGTTGGATAATATTCATTAATTACTTATATTTTAATCTTTAGATTACGTTTATTATGACGTCTAGTGCTGTACCGATAACCGATATATCAAACTAAAAATAATGTTTATAATGTTTAGAATAGATAAATTATTGATTTCTTAAGATAGTCTAAATCAGTGTTTTTCAACCGGGATGCCGCGGCACCTTAGGGTGCCACGGCGCCACGATTGGGGTGTCACAAAGTTTAGAGCCTTTGGCATTTTCTTGGAAATTTACTTAAGTGTAGTTCAAGATAACTCATTGTCAGTTCTATTTTGCTACGCGATATCTAGTAAGCAAAGAAACTATGACTAATCGCATGTTAATGTAATGTTCTACGCTACGTGTACGCACGACTTATCACGAGATCGCCTAAACAACATTGCTTGGCCTTCATGTTCCCAGTCCCAGTACCAGGCCAACCACCGAGAAGAACGACGTGGACACTTGTGTCTTGTATATGTTTTAAAAAGCGTCACATTGTACTTTGAAAAGCGTGTGGTTTCAATCACAAAGTAGGTGCATATTACAATATTTTCATAGTATTCAAAAGCAATGATGACAAATAAACAATTTTTTATCATTTTTTTAATTAAAATTTTTTAAATTGATATGAAAAAGACAAGAAAAAAAATAATGAAACATTTATTTTATATATGCATCAAAATAGTATAAAAAACTTAA